TTCCACGGGGCCAAATTGCCCCTGTGAGTTTCTGAGAAGTGAAGCCTCATCTTTCTCCTGCAGAGACTGGCGGACTCCAACTGCTGGCTCTCTGGTCTGCAGCTCAGCACACACATCACCCAACTCACGACCGTCGTCATTTCTGACTCACAGTGACCCTGCTGGGCCAAGAAGAACTGGTTCTGTGGGTTCCCAAGACTCTAAGTTTTTACAGAAGTAGAAAGCCTCATCGTTCTCCCTCCGAGCAGCTGGTGGTTTCAAATTGCTGACCCTACGATTAGCAGTCCAATTTCTATTCCATGATGTCACCAGGACGCCTTAAAATTGAGACGAATCCAGGTTTCTTGTCAGTTCAAACCCCTACAGTAGGGACTAAAACATCCTGTACTATGCTAGTCCCACGGTCACAAAGAACTCCAAATTAATAACAATATAGAGAAGAGAGTTTGGCTAGAAGCTACTAAGAAAGGCTGCCAAAGGCCAAAAATAAAACTAAGAGGACTCAGGAATTTCCAAGTTGGGTTTATATTCTCTTCTAAATAATGTTTTGGATCACTCTCAAATTGGATATTCTATGTTAAACATCATGATATTGTTTTCTTCAAAGTTCCTATACATCCACCCAAGAGCCCTGGTGGCGTAGTGGTTGCACACTGGGCCACGATCCACAGAGTCAGAAGTTTGAAACCACCAGGCACTCCTTGGTGCAGTTCTGCCATCCTATGAGGTTGCTGTAAGTTGGAATCAACTCAATGGCAGTGGCTTTAGTTGGAGTGATTGTGATCGTTAGGTTTATTGTGCCACCTAGATCTCCATAGGAACATGTGGGCAGAGCTTCATCAGATCGCAGCTTGATTGGAGGCCTACAGAGACAAAATACCTTCCGGGCCACAACCACGTGCTGCTACTTGAGCTGGTTCTTGACCTCAATTGTGCACTGCATTGCCTGTGGGTGGATGGATGTGTTGCTAGAGCTTGAGGCTCCTTCGAGAACTGCTTCTTCCCGGTACATCCCTTGAGTTTGAGATCCCATGGGGTTTGAGATCCCATGCTTCCTGCTTCCCTAAACTCCAGGGCTACCAACTGTTGCTGCCCTACCCTGCCTTTCTGGCCTGAGGGCAGACTTCACTTTCTGCGTCCTTGACCTTGCACTGGCATTCGGCCGTTCCAGGAAAGTGAGTGGAACTGAGCCCTCTATACTGCTGTGTGGACTAGCTAGCCGTGACATTCCTTCTCCCTATATAAACCTTTCCTTTTAGATCGTAATCCTAAGTGCCCTGCTTGTGTTTCTCTAGAGAACCCTAACCCAGTGATGCTTCTCAGTGGTCACTTCCAACTAGCCCCTCACAGTGCGGTAGAGGCGCAGCTCGTAGTGAAGATGCTGCGATCATCTGAAACAAAGCACAGAGGACCGCGTATGTGACATGAAGGGCAAACGAGAAATTTGGCAAGACAAAGGCAGATGATGTTTCCCCGCAATGCCTCAAAGGTTGATTCAGGTGACGATTCCAGTTCTGCACGCTTAGTAGCATTAACACACAAGGACACTTCTTTCTAGCTTTCGCTGAAGAACTGGGAGGGCAAGAGGGGAGCAGGAATTCCTTCTGGGGTGACGGAGGGTTGTTGTGAAAGGGCTTTCATGGAAGCCTAAAAACTTACTCTGGTAGCTGAAGAGAAATTGAGGCCAAAAATATTTCATTGCAAATGATGTGTCACTTTGCGTACTGCAGTACTTTCTATGCATTAAAAGTGAAGGTTAAAGAAGGGAATAAACACTTAATCTCCAATTCAAAGGAGCAGCAAACTAAACCCCCTGCCATCGAGAGGATTCCAATAATAGCGAGTTGGACAGAATAGAGCTGTCCCTGTGAGTTTCTGAGACTGGAACTCTTTGTGGGAGTAAAAGGCCTCTCATCTTTCCCCAGTGGAGCTACTCACTGGGGGTTTCAAACTGTTGGCCTGTCAGTTAGTAGGCCAACCTGTAACCCATTATACTAAATGAGCTCCTACAAAGTGATCTGCCAGGGAGATAGAAAGCTGAAGTCACCAGTACATCAGGTCATGGTATTGTGCCCTTGAGCTTTGGACTACATAGCATGTTTTCACTGAACCTGAAGTACAGTACACCACATCAGATGAAACTATTAACTAGAGACTATTAATGATTACCTTCTAACTTACTGAGATTCTTTTCCCCAAAATTGCATTTTTTAGCCATCAACACTATTACAGTGTCATCATTTTTGAAAGACAATTTAAAAACCAGGTATATTTGTTTTTTAAAAATGAGGAGCTGATACCACGGGCTCAAGCAGAAAGCAAATGTTTTGAGAATGATGATGGCAACAAATGTACAAATGTGCTTGACACAATGGATGCATGTGTGGATTGTGATAAACGTTGTATGAGCCCCCAATCAAATAATTTAAAGAAAATTGGAAGACCCAAATATGAAAACATAGTTTATTTTCGCATTCAGACTTTTGTAGTTTATTTTTACAAAATAAGGGACAAAATGTGGTTCTCTTTAGTATTATAGAATATGCCATACATATTGAAATATAGAGAGATAGCATTTAAGTTATAAACACACAGCACATTCAGCATCACATAAACAGCCACCGTTATTTTTGCACATAGGATTTCATCAGGAGCGAAACTGTTTGGATCTTGACTATGCAAATAATTCTTTGATGCTTTATGTCAACCAGTATTTTACAAAGACTAGTTTGCAAACTACCACCACCTACAAAATAGATAAGCTTGAAGGGTACAATTTTGCTCTCATGCCAGACGAAGACTTCAAATCAGGGAAAGCCAGACTGAACCGATCACATCGGAGCAAGGGCAGTCGGTGGAACTACTAAATTGTGAGTTTAAGATGTATGCTGTGGAAGTTCAAAAGACATGCTTTTGAGTCTTCGGTTCTTGGCTTCTTTCGGGTCCAGCCATTTCTTAATCCAGGGGAGAAGCAGGCTCGCTAGTCGTCTAACTGTGATAGAGGGAAGCTGCATAGGGACTGTCTTCATCTCTGAAAGAAAAAGTGAGCAAAAGTGATGCTTAAAGACCACATTCAGAAAACGAATGCATAGACTTCTTATACAACGTAATCACCAATTGCCAAAGAAGGGCAGAAACTTGGGAGAAACTGCTTGTTTTGAAAATTATTATGAATGTAAAATATTAAGGTGTAGTTTTTGGGTTTTTTTAGGTGTAGCTTCTTATCTCCATTAGGTAGAACAGAATGTAGAAATCTTGGTGGCTTGGTTACTAGACTAAAGAATGGCATTTCTTTATTTATTTATATGCTATTTTAAATTATGTTGTTGTTAGTTGCCACTGAATAAATTCCAACTCTGGGCACCCCGTGTGTGCAGAGTAGCAGCGCTCCACAGGACCTTCTGGAAATAGACTTCTGAGATATCCCTCAAACAAACTCACTGCCGTCAAGTCAGTTCTGACTCACAGTAACCCTACGGACCGGGCAGAACTGCCCTGTGAGTTTTTGAGGCTGTAACCCTAAGATAATAGAAAGCGTCATCTTGCTCCCACAAAGTAGCTGCTGGTTTCGAACTGCTAACCTGATGGTTAGTCCAACGTGTTACCCAATATACAAACCTCCCACGTTTCATCAGATCGTTGGGTGCGTAACCATTTGTGCCTCCCAGGGAGCGTATATTAAGTTACAGATTCATTATATTTATATACATTTTATTTTCTACCTCTTCCCCAAAAGGATGTGAGGTGCTTACAATAAAGACCACATATATAATGAAACAACAAAAACGAGGACTAAAGAAAAGAGATGGAAACAAATACATGAATTTTAAGAAACATTACAGTAGTGGCTTCTAGGCTCTAACGTCTGTTGCAAGCTTCTCAGTAAATTACGAAGCGTAAGCAGGCTGCACTATTCTTGACGTCAAAGAGGGATGCAGAGACCAATTCTATACGGGAAAAGGTTTCAGCGGATATTTACTTAAAAGACGAAAACAGTATTCTCATATGAGAAATACCAGCCAACATAAAGAATGGACAATGTCTCTGACAAATTTTAGAAGGCTCAGTGTTTACCAGGGTGCTGCTTCCCTGGCAGGCGTCACTGAGATCCCTCTACTCGGCAGCCATGCAGCCTTGCTAGTGGGGCAGTTACACTATTAAGGCAGAGGCACTCTGTGTAATCAGGCACTATAACAGACGAAGTCTTACGCAGAACGCCGTAGGTTTGTTTAGACGTCATCTGTAAAAACTGCCTTCCCAGAATTCAAATCCAATTTTTAAAGTGTAAAAAAGAACAATATAGCCAAGCCAGGACGTTTTAAGAAATCTTTCATTCCGCCCCTGACGAATGAGAATCATCAGCGCATCTTTACCTGCTTTCTTCTTTTAGTTTCTTGGCTGCCTGTGTGGATAACTTAATCTGCAAGTCTAGTCTCTGCAGGAAATCTTGGGCCGACACTTCCTCAGGCTGCACTGGCTCTGCGTCTGCCTCCTGAGGGCTGGGAGGGGACAGGTCTGCCCTAGTCCCCTGCGGCTCCTCTCCGTGGGAAAGACTGCCATCAACAGTTTCATTTTCTGGAGAATCGATTGAGTTAAGTCCATTAAACAACAAAGGCTTCTCTGATATAACTGGGATGTTCAGAGTTTTCTTCAGAAATATACAATCATTGGTAAATAGTTTGTTTGCTCTTTTTATCTGCTCCATCTAAAATAGAAAAACAACAATAACAAGTTACATATAACTGAATCCTGAAGTAAGGGTTACTACACAAAACACAGAGCTACAAACATGCGTGAACAAAATGTTTCGATGGCTTCTCTGGATTTGAGATACTCAGTTCAGGTTTGGTTACCTCCCCAAGGCCTCCCTCCAGTTATTTTAAATAACATGTCAGAAAAGTCCATTTCCCAATTAAACAAATGGCCCTGTGAGGTGTAGGTAATATCTGTTCCCCATGAAGAGACAGCTCAGTGAGATGATATAGCATGCTCACACTCACATGATTTAAGTTGGTGGCACGGGGACCAGAACTGGGCGGTGCCCCTAGCCCATGCCTCAAATCAAAATCCACACCCATGGAGGCAGCAGCCAAAAACTCAAATGATGAAAAGAGGAGCTGATACCAAGGGCTCAAATAGGAAGTGAATGTTTAGAAAAGGTTGATGGCAACGTATGTACCAATATGCTTCATACAATGGATGTATGGAGTATTTAAACAGCTGTGAGAGCCCCCCAATAAAATGATTTTAAAAAAATCAAATTATGTATTTCGCATTGAGCAAATGTCCTGCAGAAGACCACCTTAAGGTGCTCCAAAGCGGAGAGGTCACCTAGAAGGCAAAGGTGGACCTCATCCAAGCGAGAGTATTTCCAATCATCGCATAAACATGCAAAGGCCGACGGGGAAGAAGGAAGGCTGATGAAGAATTGATGCCTTTGAATCCGTGTTGGGGAAGAATATTGAATACACCAAGAACTGCCAGGAGAAAGAACGAATCTTGGAAGAAACACACTAGAATGTTCCATAGGAGGATGGCAAGAGTTGGTCTTCCACACTTTGGACCTATTAGTAGAAGGGAGATCAGACCCTGGAGAAAGACACCGTACTTCGTAGAGGGCGAAAAAGTGGAAGGCTCTCAAGGAGACCGACTAAGACCGTGGCTGCAAAAATGGACTCAGATAAGGCATTAATGGTGAAGTTGCGAGACTGGGCATAGTTTTCTCCTACTGAGCATGGGGTTGCTAAGAGCCAGCATTGACTCAATGGTACTTCACAATGTCTTGGTCACAGGTCTCACTCATACAGGCACATGTATCATATTTCATTCTTTCTACCCTGTAGAATGGGTATCTGTCATTTCACTCCACAAGTAAAAGTAACAAGGCTCAAAGATTATGGAGCACGGAATCATCATACGCCTAGCAAATAGAGAAGCAAGGATTTAATGTAAGTTTTTATCATAACTTCAAACTCTTCCATAGCTTGTAGACACTTCCTACAAATCACAGAAAAGAGGGAAGTGATGGTTGAAAAGGAGAATGCAATTTACATACATGCTATCAAGCTGCCCGGAAGGCCTTAGTGGAAAACCAGGCCCAGTAATTGATAGAATACCAATTGAGATGTTTTAACAAACAGATGCAATGCTGGAAATGCTCACTCATCTTTGCTACCTGTGATAGGTTTGTGTCAACTTGGCTGGGCCGGGATCCTCAGTAGTTTGCTAGTAAGCCCACCCTCCATCTCCATAATGTCACCGAATGTATTGGAAACAACTCATGCAGTTGTGGGACTATTAGGGCGGAGTGCAACCCTTTACTCTAGACCACAGCAGCCTAATGTTGTCTCTTTGGGGAGTTGGCCTACTTCACATACATAACGAGACTGTAGCTAATTCACCCCCTCCCTCTCTCTCCTTGCTGGTGTGGATCCTGCATCTGTTACCTTTACTGCCAGTTTTTTGGACTTGAGCCAACAGCATATCATATTGCCTATTGACCCTGAGCGCTATCAGCTGCCTGCCATATTACCTGCCAACCCAGGGAAACCATCAGTCTCTACAGTATGGCCTACCAAACTGCTCTACATCCACCAGACATACGCTTCCCGTTGTCTTCCTGCGCCATCCTCCTGCCTCCCAGCTTCACTTCCTGTTTCCTGGTTTCCCGGTCCCGGGAGCTACTCAAGAAAAGTCTGTGTCTTAATGTCTGACACACAGACTTGAACCCGACTGGACTCAGATGCTTCTACACGTGTGTGAGCCACTTTATTGATAAAAGTTTATATATTTCACGGATTGTGCTTCCCTAGAGAACCCAGCCTAAAACACTGGCCAACCCACTGGAAGAGATCTGTATTCCTGCAGATTCCAAAGAAAAGTGGTCCAGCCTCATACAACCACCACAGAACATCATTAATAACACCGACAAGTACCGATCACAATGGTCGACGCATAACCATACTCCCCTGTACAGGGGGAAGAACAACCGAACACATGGGGGAAGGGTGACAGCGGTCGGTGTGAGAGATGAAAACAATAACAATGTACAATCTATCAGGGGGTTATGAGGATGGATGGGGAGGGGCAAAATAAAAAAAAAAGAGCTGATACCAAGGGCTCAATAGAAAGTAAATGTCTAGAAAAGAATGAGGGCAACATATGTACAAACATGCCTGATTCAACTGATGTATGGATTGTGATAAGAGTTGTACGAGCCCCCAATAAAATGATTTTTTAGTTAAAAAAAAACACAGACAAGTAAAGTTCTGCTGAATATAATTTTTAAGTGGTTACAGCGGCATATGAACAAGAAACCACCAGATATTAAAGCTGTTTTCAGAAGAGGGCATGGAATGAGATACTATTGATGTCACATAACTTTGACTGGAGGCAGAGATTCCCACACCGATGTTTACGTCTTGTTGTTTATGCAAAAGTATTCCCCTCTGTGATTTCATGTTACTCGTCCCCAATCAATGCCCATGGAAACAGCACCCAAGACATCAAGCAATACCTGACAGGTCATAGTATTTTCATCACTTCAAATACCTGAGAGCTGGACAAATGAATACTTTTACTTAAACCAGCGGTTCTCAACCTGTTTGTCGCGACCCTTTCACGGGGGTCGCCTGATTCATAACAGTAGCAAAATTACAGTTATGAAGACGCAATGACAATAATTTTATGGTTGGGGGGGTCACCACAATACGAGAAACTGTATTAAAGGGTCATGATATTAGGGAGGTTGAGAACCACTGTTTTAGACAGAAGAACTGAGTTATTTGAATTGTTGTATTGGCAAATAATATTGAATGTACAGTAATCAGGCTGCCATGAAAACGAGTCAGTCTGTCTGGAAGAAGTACAGCCAGATGCTCCTTAGAAGGGAGAATGATTACGTATGGATTGTAAAAAGAGTTGTACAAACCCCCAGTAAAATGATTTTAAAAAGAAAAGAAAGAATGACAAGACTTCATCTCACGTATTTTGGAAATATTATCAGGAGGACATATTAATCAGAAGAATTTGAAGCACTTGCTAATGAAGACTAGTCTTCAGTGTGAATTCCAACTCAAAGAAAATAAAAATCCTTACCTTGGAACCACTAAGTAACATCATGATAAATGGAGAAAAGACTGAAGTTGTCAAGAAGTTCATCTTGTTTGGATCCATAGTCAGTGCTCATGGAAGCAGCAGACCAGAGCTCTAAGGAAGCAATGCACGGAGTCAGCCTGCCGCACAGGGCCTCTGTAAAGTGCTGAAAGCAGATGTTGCTAAGAGAGCCAAGGTGCACTGAAATCAGGCCTTGGTATTTCAGTTGCTTCATGTGCATGCGAAAGTTGAGTATTTAATAAAGACCAAAGAATAGGTGGATTCGAATTGATTGCTGGCAAGGAATCCTTAAAGTCCCAGGTCTGTCAAAAGAACAAACGAATCTGTCTCGCAAGTACAGTCAGAATGCTGCTCACAGGCAAGGATGGTGACATGTGGTCTCGCGGACTGGTTATCAGGAGAAGACCATCCTGCGTGGCAAAGTTGAGGGGCAGCAAAAAGGAGGCAGGTCCTCAACAAGATAGATTTACACAGTGGCTACAACAATGGGCTCAAACATGCTAACAGTTGGGAGGCTCGTGCAGGACCGGGGAGTGTTTTCTTCTGTTGCACAGAGAACAGACTCAATGGTACCCAGCAACAGGATGAAAGGGAGTCCTGCAGGCGTAGTTGGTCAAGTGTTGACCTCTTAACTACAGTCAGCAGTTCGGGCCTGCCAGACTCCCCACCAGAGAAAGGCGAGGCGTTTGGCTCCCCTAAAGATTTACAGTCTATGAGGTTGCTTAGAGTCTGCATGGACTTGATGGCAGTGGGACTGGTTTGGGAGTAATGGTACTAAAACAAGTAGAAAGACTAGTTCATGTTCTCAAATGGTAGGCCTTAGCTAAGTAGGCATTCCTTACGTTTCCTTGGGCCCACCTGGATGATACACATCCCGCCTGCCGGTCGGTCATCAGGGTGCTGCAGCATAGCTACAGGCATTGTGAATGCTTCCTCTTTCTCTCTCCTATCAGACTAGCACCTAAGTAACACTGAGTTTCCAGCAGGTTATGAAGTGTATGGCTTCTGTAGCCCACCGCACTCCAACTTGTACCTGCATAAAGGAGGACCCTGACCACCCCTTGGCTGAGCCTGTCCTGTCCAGCCTCTGGAAGCAGTACCGCATCCCAGTCAATAAGCCTCACAATGCAGATCAATGGATGCCTCTCAACTCTCGGTCTCGCTCACGGTCCATTTAAAGTTTGGTTTCTTTTTTCCTTTTTAAAAATACCACACTAAATACTACCTAGGCTTGCCATGAGGGGGAATCTGCCCAATGGCTGTGGGTTTTCCAGTGCACTTTAAAGAAAAGGGATAGGAAGGGTGGGAGAGAGAAAGGGAGCAGCCTGAAGATGGGCAGATGCATTTTAAAAAAATCATTTTATCAGGGGCTCATACAACTCTTATCACAATCCATACACACATCAATTGTGTAAAGCGCATTTGTACATTCATTGCCCTCATCATTCTCAAAACATTTCCTCTCCACTTAAACCCCCGGCATTAGGTCCTCATTTTTCCCCTCCCTCCCCGCTCCCCTCTCCCTCATGAGCCCTTGATAGTTTATAAATTGTTATTTTGTCATATCTTTCCCTGCCTGACGTCTCCCTT